CAGTGGAAACTGCTGCAAACCCCAGTGGAAACCCCCCAGTGCAGAGCTTCCTGGCACAGTGACCACGCCAGGAGCAATGTCCCTCTGCACCCTTTGGGCTCCCAGCGACAATTCCAGTGCCTGGAATGCATGGGACTTTAAGGGGCAATAAGTAATGCCTGCGTGTCCTCAGAGTTTGGGACAAATCAGGAAATGACAGGCACGAGTCAGGGAAATGGAAGTGAAATGCCAGCTCTACACCCACCCGGCTGGTCTGGAGACTGGTTCAGGGGTGCGGCCACAACCTGAGCTGCCCACTGCCCACTCCTCCGCCTCCGTGACCCTCCGGGTATCCCACTCCTCAAGTTCATTACATGCAGAAAACTTGAGTGCACTGAGGCTGCCAGGTTCCAGTGGCTCCTCCCCATGTGACCCCTCAGGTCACTGACTTCCGTCCTGAGTTCCCTAGAGGAGGGGTGAGGGGTGGGGGGTCAGGAAGATGCCTGGAGTAGAAAGTCCAAGGATGGGAGTGAGGGTTCCCCAGCACTGGTCCCAACAGGCTGCTGTTCTGTCCTCAAGGCTTACCTTGCCTGGATACAATTCCAGGTCTGCGCTCACAGCTCAGCTGAGCCACGATGGAAAGTTCCAGAAACCTACAGTAAATAGTAAGTTAAGCAGCAGGCAGAGAAGCAGAAAGAATTCGTAGGTGAAAGCTTTCTGACTCACACACCTGAACTTGTGCTCACACCACAGGCTCCTCTGTCTGCTATGTTCTGCCAGAGCAGCCTGTACAGGACTCCAGAGGATGGGTACCTCTGTGTGGGAGATCAAGAGGATAGAGAAACGCCCTGGACAGTGTTTCTCAGTGGTTAGAGTGTTGGCCTGCGCACCAAAGGGTCTAGGGTTCGATTCCTGGTCAAGGGCACATATCTGGGTTGCAGGTTCCATTCTCGGCCCCGTTAGGGTGCATTCAAGAGGCAACCAATCAATGTGTCACTCTCATATCCATATTATTCTCTCTTTCTCTCTCTCTCACTCTCTCTCTCTCTCCCCCCTCCCTTCTCCTTTCTATTCTCTAAAAATCAATGGGAAAAATAACCTTGGGTGAGGATTAACAACAACAAAAAGGAGGATGGAGAAAGCTGGGTGGGGGATGGGGAGGAGTCACACAGGACAGGGTTAGAAGTCCAGAGCTCAGACCAGGGGGAACTCAGGGGAGTCTCGCCAGTGAGAATAGGGACGGGAGGCATGGGGGAGGGTTGGGACCGAGCCTCAGTCTCTGCTGGAGCAGCGGGCTTGCTCTCATTGACCAGGTGGGCATCTGGCAGGCTTACTGGACCCGCTGCAGGAACCCTTGTTTTGCAGATGAGAAAACAGAGACCTGTTGAGGTACGTGAAGTTGGCCAAGGTCACACGCTGGCTGAGCTAGGATTTGGACCCTTGTCTCCTGATGCCTAAGCCCGTGCTCATTGGTAACAGGAGGCCTCTTCGGGCTACACGTGGCAAAGCCCCATGAGGCTTCCGTCGCATCCCTGCACACAGAGGCCTGCGGGCAGCCCGCCTCCTGCAGGGCTCCACGGCTCACGCCCATCATCTCCCACCCAGCGCGGAGCGGCAGCACATGGTCTCGAAGAGCACACACACTTGTACACAAACACGCCCCCACACTCGGAGTAGGGAGGGATCCTTCTGGCACACGCTCGGGAATAAACAAATAGCTGGCATATAGCATCACCAGGAATGGGAAAACAAGTTCTGGGCTGGACTGAAGAAGAACAGAATCTCAGAACAGAAAGCAAAGCCCGGGAAGAAAATGTCCTAAAAACAGCATCTGCCCGAGGCTGGCTGCTTTCACTCCTTCCCGGTCAGCTTCGCCTGCCACAGCCGCTGGCCCAATGCCATTCCCGACATTCCCCTAAGTCCCTCAGCTCTGTGCCCGCGGGCTGCAGGTCCTCGACTTCGCTCCTTCCTTGTCAGCCGCGTCTTACATTTAAATTTTGCCTCCTCTGAGCGGACATCACTGCCTGTTGGGAAACAGCCTATGACAGTGTACCCGGGCCGGGGGCACGCAGAGGAAGTGGCCATCCCCGGGAGCCACATGACCCCCATGCCAGGTAATTTTCTGTGACGGGTGCTCCTCCTGCAATGGAATGAACGGGCTGATCATAAACCGCTTGCAAGGGCTGCCCTGACCCACAATGCACGGAGGCCTCAGCTCCTTTAATACATCTAACGGACACAGACTTGGAGCTGGATGGACGTCCGTGCCCCCAAGTACGGACTGGTTCCTCTCTGCCCAGAGCGAGCAGCTTCATGGGGTGTGCTCCAGCCACGACCCAGCTGGAGGCGCAGGAAAAATGCTGATTTTTGACCCAGTGCTGAGAGGCATAGATCAGATGCTTGGTGGCGGAAGCAAACTAAAGGACATCAGGCTGTGGTGATGGACTCACTAGCAAGATTACATTTAATAGGGACACAAGGGTAACCCTACGTCGTCAAAGAACACAGGCACAAAAACATCCATGGCAGGGGTGAGGACACGGGGGACCTGGTGAGACAGCACCCCGAAGGCAACGTATTAGAAAAAGTTTATTTTATTTTTTAAAACGTATTTTTATTGATTTCAGAGAGGAAGGGAGAGGGAGAGAGAGAGAGAAACATCAGTGATGAGAGAGAACCATTGATCGGCTGCCTCCTGCACGCCCCATACTGGGGATGGAGCACACAACCCGGGCATGTGCCCTGACCGGGAATCCAACCATGACCTCCTGGTTCATAGGTCGACGCTCAGCCACTGAGCCACGCCGGCCTCTGCCCCCTCCGGGACCACACCCATTACAGCATCCTTGGAAGACCCTGTCGCTCGCTGGTCCCCAACCTTCTATCAGGTGGGGAAGGGGACAGGAGTGCGAGCAAAGAGTTTCCTTCTCCTCTGCCAAGGCATGAGATTCAGATATTTATGCCACTTTTCATTTTTAACAATTGCTGCCGGTTCCAGGGGTCCCCCCACCCCAGCCAGTTCCTGCCCCTGTGCTTCAGACCATGCTCCTTGCTATAGATTTAGGGCTGGGGATGGGAGTCCAGGGAGTAATGGCTGGAAGGACATATATGGGCAAACAGCACCAAACCAGAGATGCGGGGAGAACATTCTTGAGAAAAGTTTGCCTCTTGGCTCCACTTCTTGCTTTTCCCGGCTGATGCAATGTTGGTGAGAATAAGTGGTTTTTGGCTGCTCCTCAAGAACAGGGAGTGTTGATGAGGACTTGGGACCGTGTGCTCAGCTTCTCTCTGCAGACTCGCTGTCCTCTCTCCCAGGTCTGTCCGCTCCGACTCAGGAAGGAACATGGAGTCCAACATGTGTGTGTCAGGTGTGCGGCACTGGATCTGCATCAGCGGGGCCACCTACAGGGACTGGACCTGCCACTTGTTGCCGGGCAGGGAAATCTGTTTCACAGCCTCCCCCCACATACGAGATGGGAGTTCTCTTTTCTCAGATGAAGCTTTCTGGAGGGTTTGTGACCAAAGTAGCCGTATCTGCAGAGTTAGGGGCGAGAAGCGCTGTGTCAACAGTCATGCCTGTGTGTGAGCTGAATATCTGCTGAGGATCACACACCCAGGTCAGGGGCAAGGAGACCCTCTGCACGGCAGGGAGTTGCCCCTGGGAGCTTCCTGGTGCATGCGGCCCTCGCCCGCCCTCAGAGCCCTGGAGAGTCTGCGCAGGGAGCTCCTGGGCATCCTGCTGAAGTGCAGACTTCGAGACAGCAGCCCAGGCTTGGCCGCAGCTCAGTCATTTCTTCTAGGCTCCAGGGCAGGGGTGCTGCTGCTGGTCTGCAGACCGCACTGCGAGTGTCAAGGCTCTAGGTTAGAATACCCTTCACCTGGACTACAGCATCTTTTGTTGTCTGCTCAGAACACAAATTCAAGACTCACCTCGAGTTTCCCTGAAATCTCGAAGACCTTCTTGGCTACATATGCCATTTCTATGCCCTCTCGGTAGAAGTGACGGCCATTTATCTATCTATCCATTTATGCAACCATCCATCCATCCAACCATCCATCCAAACATCCACCCATCCATCCCTTCTTGGTGCCCTTACTGAACCTGTCACAGGCTTTGCTCTCCTCTCCTACTGACCGGTTGAAATCCAATGAGTTCCAGCTTCCTCTTGCATCTCCCATGGACTCAGTGCTTAACACTATTTACTGACTGATTTCAGAGTATGATTCACCTGCTCTACTTACTTTGCTTTGTTTATTGTCTGCTTCCTCCCACTAGACTCTGAGTTACAAAAGGAAAGGGGTTTTTAGCTCTTTGTTCACTGCTCTATTTCCAGTGACCTAGCACATGGTATATGCACAATAAGTATTCGTTGAATGAATGAATGAATGAATGAGAGTAAGACAAGGCACTGTATCCAATGTAAGGCAACGGCTAGCCATGGATGATGGAGCAGTTGTCATTTATTGAGCTGGGAAAGATAGGTAGTGTAGGGGGAGTGGGAATTAGGCAATTCGGAGGAGTCTGGGCCTACCTGTGCATGTTTAGAGCTGTCCACATGGTGTCTGGCACATAGTAGGCACTCAATAAACCTTAGAAATTATTCCAGTGATCTTCTAATAAGTTTTCTCTGCTTCAATATCAGCCTTCAATTCTTCTATAGACCCTAAGCTTAATACACATACATGAATATACCAACCCACCATTTATCTATCCATCTATCCAACCATCCATCCATCCATCCATCCAACCATCCAACCATCTAACCATCCATCCATCCATCCATCCATCCATCCATCCATCTATCCATCCATCTGTATAGTTTGGTAAATGTTGGACAGTAAGTTTTTCTTTAAGCAAGGGAGTCCACTGATGTTGTCTGTTCAATAGTTAAATACAACACATATATAAAAGAAATATCTCCCTCTTTGCTGAGTGAAAAATATAACTTCCAAGATCAATCAGAAAAACATGCTCTAAAGGTCAAAGACACAGAAGCAATTTCACTCTTGTCTATATTCTCCCATCAGCCTTAGCACAGACATACATATCCTTGTTTATTATGAATCAGAGTCCATCAGAAATGAAATGCTTTGCCCTTGGCAGAACTCATCTTGGAGTTTCCTAGGTAGAGTGGGAGGAGAGGGGAATCAGAGAAAGAAGAGTCTCAACTCCCCGGGCAGACCCGATGCGGGGCCCTGTAGAGAGATGATATTGACTAGATGGTTATACAAGGTCCTGCTAGAAATAGGGCTGGAAGTGATAGGGATGGACAAGGCTTCACCACACATTCTATATTGCTCACTGGTCCAAAATTGTTCCCTGAGATGTCTTTCCAGTTACTTGTCCAGATTTCTATGATCTTAGATTGTTCCTGGGTAGAAAACAGCTTGACTTCCCCAAGCTCTGGCAACCCTTAATCCATCCTTGTTAATTCTCTTGTAGCCTGTGTGGCTTCCAGAGGGAGACACACTTATCTGCTGTCTGGTTCGGGGCCGACTTCCCCAGGATTGCCCAAGAAGGAATCATACTGAGCAGAGTGGCTGGAGGCAGGGGCTTTCGCTACTCATGGGTGCTCAGCCTTTGGAGAAAGGTGAGGCCATGCTGACGGTGTCTCCAAGGGGTGGCCCCGTCCACGCAGCTTCACCCACAGAAGCTGGCAGCCCTGGGACGAGGATGGGAAGGACCATGGAACGACAGTGGAGCCTTGTTAGGGGAGAGGACTTGGCAGCTTCCAGCAGTCATGAGGTGGAGGCTGGGTCCCTCCATACCCTCCTTCCCTGCCACTCACAGGCGTCTTTACGTGGTTCCTAAAAATTCCTACAATCTTTCATTAAAAAGCCTATTTGACCATTCTGACTGTCGAGACAGAGAAACTGAAAGCTCACTTTTGCTCCGTCACTAACCAGTGATCAAGATTGGCTAAGTCCCATGCCTGCTGGTGTGGCTCAGTGGTTGAGCATCAACTTATGAACCAGGAGGTCACGGTTTGATTCTGGGTCAGGGCACAGGCCCGGGTTACGCGCTTGATCCCCAGTAGGGGGCGTGCAGGAGGCAGCTGATCAATGATTCTCTCTCATCATTGATGTTTCTCTCTCTCCCTCCCTTGCTGAAATCAATACAAATATATATTTTTAAAAATAAATAAAAGGTGCGGGGTCAGCTCCCCCTCAGCGTTGCTCCTGTACCGGGGCATTCCTGACTCCAGAATTCCCAGTCAGCGAGGCAGAGCAGTGCCTGGGGGCTGGCTGGCTGACTGGGGGGAATGTCAGGGCATTTGCCTGCTGGGTAGACGGGCTGGCTGAGCTCACTCGGCTGAATCTCTGCAGCGGTCCCCACGGATGGTGTCACTGCCCACAGTAATGAGCGCTGCGCTCAGAGAGCTTGTAAACAAGCTGTGATTCCTGGCCCTGCATGAACTACAGCTCCAGCGGGGAGGCTGGGAGGCTGGGGATCAGGAAGAAGCCAGAGTTATGATGCTCTGGGGTGATGTACCAGCCTCTTTTCTGGCAACTCAAGGGCCACCCAATTAATAGTCTCTTTCATGCCTTCCCATTTCCTTTCCAAAGTGCTCCTCACACCTGTGACCTTGTTTGACCCTCTTAGCACCCCTCGAATAGATAAAGGGCAGAATTAAATGTCCCCATTTTAAAGATAAGGAAACAGCCCGGTTGAGTGCACAGCCAGGAGCAATGCGGGCAGAGGGCTGTTTTGTGGGGTTTTCATGATCTACAAACAATGGTTCTCCATCACTTTATTCAAATGGTCATGACTTTAGGGTGTTCTTCTGTGAGGCAGGTGCTTGGGGTTACAGCAGGCCTTTCTGCCTCCACACAGAGTCTTAGCCCCTCAGAGTTCAGAAAGGCCTTAAGACAGCAACGGGGCCAGCTGCCTGGTCCCATGGATGGGGACCTGGATCTCGAAACGGCTGAGCCCCTCGCTGCAGCTCAGTGGCATGTGCGAGGCACCTGCTGCCCCACTGCTCTCCTGTCCCTCACGCCTCTGCTCCGTAAGAGCCCCCTGGCCTTTGGCTTCGTGGGATCAAAGTAAACAAGACAGTGACAGCTTTGGGCCGGAGCTCACTCCACGCAGAGGCTGTGGGCGGGTGACAGGCCACCTTTGGAAACGGCCTTTGTGAAGGAGGCGCTGTGAGACGCCCAATCGGTACCAGGGTTTTGTCAGTTTCTCTAACCTTAAGCCGAGTCAAGCTGTATTGATCAGAACCTGTTGGGAAATGAATTACTGGGGCTGATCTATACAGAAATCCAATCTGGAGGTGGAACAAACTGCGGTCAGGAGTCCTGATTAGGCCCCCGCACCCCCAGCTAAATAAAGCCAACACACGGCGCGCACACAAAGGGCGGACTTTCGGGGGATGGAAATGACACAGCCGCCGCGGTTGGGGAATACTGGTCCAGCTAATACCGTGGTAATTGGCCATTTTTTAATAACCAACACATCGATTTCTCTCTAACAATGCTCCCAAGAAGCGAGGACAAGAGGGGCTGTGTTAACAGAGAGCGATGGAAATGAAGTTAAGCCCGAGAGTGACTTTTTCGGTATCCGTAAGCTAGGAGCACAATTCTGCTGGAAACAGCATTCTGCAGGAATCCAAACTGGTTTCCTCATGAAGCAGGAGGGGGGGAGTCGGGAGGGGGGAAGTTTCTGGAGAGGGGAAAGCCGGCAAGGAGATCGAACCCTCCATTTCAAAAATTGCTTAGCAAAAGCGATTTTAATTGCTGCCTTTGTTATAAAAGATTAAAGGTAGTTATGTCCCCCTGTACCTCACTTTAAGCGATCGATACGTTCCTGAATAGTTATGTGCAAGTCAAATTTTTGTAAATCCAATCCAATGTTCAATGCCCTCAGAGAGCTTGCTGTTTCAAGGAGCCTCTTTGGTGGGTCCTTTTGTAAGGCCTAAAACAATCTCTTAATTTATTTGGCGGGCAGACTTTAATATTTTTAGATGATGATAAAAATCAGGTCAATCAAATGTTGACCCCTCTCTCATATTCAGAAGAAAGGGCTGGGACATAGAGTGGAAATAAGATAACTTAATGGCCCACTACAACAACAAATGGTACCTTACTTGGTAAAGTGAGGTTACTTCTAGCATCTTCTATTTGTGGCTGTGACATGGAGCACTGGTGACTAATGTTGAGCATTAGAACATCGACACTATCCAAAAGGGTTAGCTTTAAAAATTATCTAGTCCAACTTCTTCCAAAACAGATATTTCTCTTTGCAACATCCCAGAATGATGACTCTTTAGCTCTGCTTAACACTGCTTGCGTGCCCTGTGAAAGTCACTCATAAATGTGTTATGTATGTATTGAGCATTCTGGGGAACCAGGTCTGGGAAAATGGGAGGAGAAATCTAGATACAGTGCTCATGTTCTATAGGATTTAATTTAACTGGGAGAGCAGATGGTCAATAAAATAGTAACACAAATAACTGATATATTCCAGTTCTGATAAACATTATGAAGATTAACTATAGAATGCTATGAAAGTGGTCAGGGGCCTGACGACATTG